ACAGTATGGTTAGCTTACATGGAAAAATCTGGCAGATGCAACGAGGAAGGTAACACTACATCCCGAATGCTGAACACAATTACCAACTAGTTGAAAAAAAAAAAAAAAAAAAAAAAAAAAAAAAAAAAAAAAGGGACCTGCGGACATAATTGACGAGGAAAGTACAGGAGTTTATACCCCGAACAAATGAGGAGGGTAAAATAATGGACGTACCCGAACAGTATGGTTATCTAAGATGTTTTATTATAAGTATAGATTGAACGGGTTCATTATACGCAACATGTGTTAACAAGATTATCAAGTCATGAAGTCTGGATTTAACAAAGAGTTCACCCGAACAGGTGACCTGATCGCAACATGAAACGTATTGCAGAGGCGAATTGATAGGTGAAAACAAATATGAAAGTACTGGCCGGAAAGATGAGCAGGCAAAAATTGTATATTCATCGGCTCTACTGGCCGGAAAGTACAGAAACTACTGATTCAAAAGAAAAGTACAGATGAGTGTCTAAATCTACTGTTCGGGATGATCTTCACCCTCTTCATCATCTTCTTCATCATCAGCTTCGTCCACAATTGGCACCACATCCATCCCCAGGGCTCGCCGGCACTTTTTCATCTGAGCCATCAGGGCGTTCAGATGATCGGGATGAAGATCAGCGGGAAAGTCAGAGGGTTGCACCGCTCGGCCCATATGTTTCTCTATGAGGGGGAGGAGAGGCTGAAGCATATGCTGGCAACCTGAGCTGTAGACCCCGCGGGCGAAGTTTTCAGCCCACTCCTTGGTGACAGAATGCTGATCCAGCACCCTGATCCCCTCCTTCTGGCGCTCTTCTCCGGCCAGTTTCTCCAAGTGCCTCCCGAAAACAGCAGGGAGCTGTTCGGTGGCGTATTCTTCCTTGAGAGCCAGAAACTCCTCGGAAGCTTTGAATTGATCCCGAACGGCAGATAGATCAACTAACATTTCAGCCGGGCCGTCTGGGATTTGAGGAGGGGCCTCAGAAAACTTGACCTGAGCGGCCTCAGCTGCCGCGATCTTGGCCTGGAGGGAGCCCACCATGACACGAAGCTCCCCAGCCTCAGCTTCTAGCTTCCTCCGCTCCTCGGCAAAAGCCCGGCGTTCGGCCTCTGATGCCTGTTCAGCCGTTTCCTTGGCCATCAGCAGCCCTTGTTCCTTGGCCTGCCTGGCCTCTCTGAGTTTCAGGCTGTAGATCCCTACCTGTTGATCGAGTACAAATAAGAAATGAGAACCTGGTAAATTAATGAAACAACCGAAAAAAAAAGAGGGGTGATAAGAAGTTACCTTCAGGGCAGCCAAGGCAATACACTCTTCGGCCTCCTCGACCGGCATCGGAGGAAGGTTATGCCCATTAAGGAAGCCCGATGTGGACCAAATCTGGCTTGCTGGACAGCCTCCCCTTTCCAGCATTCCATGAGCGGGATCTTGAAGGGAGATCTGCTCAAACTGGCTCGCCAAATCAGCCTGGTTGGCGGCCAGTTCCTCAGCGGAAAAGTGGTGAGGCTGCTGATCAGAGAAGAGCTGATCCATCAGCATATCAGCATGTGAAGATTGCTGTTCAGGGGCAACCTGCTGCACAGGTTCTACATCCCGAACAGGTTCAGACTGCTCGGGGACGACGGGGGCGGATTGGGAGGATGTCCCCTGATCTGCCTTCCTCAACCTCTTCCTCTTTGTCTTCCTCTGCTGCTTGGGAGGAGAGGTTGGTGGCTCGTCATCAAATCCAACAGTGAAAAGCCTGCTGTCATCCATAGCCGGTTGTTCGGGATTGGCTCCTTCGGAGTCTGAAGATTCGCCTTGCTTTAGAGCTGAAAAGATAACAAAGGAACAAATTAGTACCGAGCGGTTCACACGTGGATTTATAGTACTATCACACGGGAAGGACCGCCCGGGCCATGGTACTTGGTTTTCAGTCAAGTAGGTCCAGGAATACGGGCAGTACCTATCCCGGCCCTAATTAGCCGTTCGGGAGTCAGGTAAGACATGATTTTGAAACAGCCTCCTGCCTCCACAGCAATGACATCTTGGCTAAGCTCCTCAGAGATGAATGGCTCGGGGGATTTAGGAGGAAATGCGTTCCACTTCCTAGGAATCAGACCGTTCGGGACAGAGACAAAGAAAAACCTATCTTTCCAACCCTTAATGGAAGAAGGGGCATCACAGAACAAAATATGTCCTGGACGGGAGCTTACCACCAGGAAGCCGTGGGACTGCTGGGGGATAACCGAAAAGAAATAGTGGAAAAGCTCTAGAGTGGGTGTGACCTTGACACTGTGACAACGACAAATGAAACCAGCTATCGACCGGTAGGAGTTCGGCATTATTTGGGCTGGTACTACATTGTAAAAATTTAAAAGGGAAACAAAAAAGGGGTGAAGTGGGAATCTAAGACCGGCCTTGACTGAGTCGAAATGGACCACAACCATCCCTGGGAAGTGGCGCATTGGGTGAAGACCCGATTGAAGGCGGAAGTCCACCGAATCAGGAATTAGCATCTGAATTTGGGCCCGATTCTGGGCCGTGAGCTTTTGGCGCCTAAACCTGATAAGAGCTAGGTCAAGCTTATGACAGGAAACGCCGCTTGGAGGGCCGGCTTCCATAACCTCCAATTCATCCCCCGATTTGGTGCCATCAGAATAAACATCGGAGGAAGAGGAATCATCGCCGTTAACCTCCGCCGGAATACGGACAACTTGCAGCGTATCATTGGGGTTTTCTTCTGGAATTACAGTGCCGGAGGTAGAGAGTTCAGATGAACGACGGGTTGCCATACCGATCAAACAAGGAGGATAGAAAAAAGACAAAGGCCAGAAAGTACCTGAGCGAGAACTAAGGAATAGCTCTAGAGAGAAGGATGAATGATAAGCCGGGGATGCAAAGTTTCGAAACCCAGAATCAGAACCAGAAGAGCCTATTTATACTCTGTCACGCCGATTCAGCTGCCAATCAAAAGAGGACACGTTTTTTTTGTAATAATGACAGAGACACGTGTCGCACAGAGAATCCTTCTCAGGTAATCATGACGTTTATCGGAGAAGTGAAACGGCAGTTGCAAATAACCGTCAAAATATGCCTCGGGAACCGGCGGAATGCCATCCGATACTCACCCGAACAGCATTCGGGCAATAAACTTATACTTCCTTATGCACTCACTACCGTTCGAGACATAGGAAGTGGGGGACTAGTGTTGGGATATTGGGTCCAGGCCCAATATCCCTAGGCCCAAATCCGGGAAGAAGCAGCAAGCCCAAAGAACTCCCGAACGGCATTCGGGATAAAACTTATACTTGGAACATTCTGGGTAACGATTATGCCAAGGTATCAAGGCCCAAATATCGATCGGCGTTCGGGATACTTCAGGTAGAAATTATCACCTATGGCGGGGTCCCACACACCGAACACCTTGCCCGAACGGGCAATCAGCAAGTGGAGGCCGCATTTAATGCTGGATCATGGCGGCAGCAAGTGGGGGCATGGGTGCTTACATGGCAGAGGTGATAGCCTACCAGATTCGACCACGTGTCCACCTTACCCATCCCCATTTTAGTATAAATACCCATGTTTAGATCATTGTAAGGGGTTAGCATTTTAATACTCAGAGCTTAGCAATAGATTTACATCTTCTATCCTTGTAATCTCATATTCATCTACCGTTCGGGTAGTCTCAGTGTAATCACATATTTATTGAATATCGGTAAGCTTTTGAGTTGAGCAAATATCTCACTGTTTTATATTTTATACACATTTCAACCCTACCCAATATCCCTACAATATCCAAGGCTTGTGTTGGGCTTTCGGATCTTCGGGAATAAACCCCAACACTGTATATCCATGGCTAAAGTTAAAGTACGTATATCGCTTAGAAAATTAAAATTAAAAACTAAAGTAATGTTCGACGAATCTAGACGGCCTAGGCGGCTGATTAGGCTCTCTAGGCGGGCAACTAGGCGCCATAGGCGGCCGACTAATTCACCTAGACGACAAACCAATTACTCGGAGCGCCTAGACGAAAATCGGGGCGCCCGACCACCGCCGGGCGCCTAGGCGGGGACTAGTCGGCGCCTAGAACTTTTTTTAGAACAAAGGTTTTAACCCATGTTGCACGGATACGGATACGCCGATACACGGATACGCGAATACGGGTACATCGATACGACAATTTCAAAAATTATAGGATACGGGTACGGGGGTATATTTATAAATAATAAAAATATAGGGTATAATTTGCAAATATATATAATTCAGGGGTTCATAAATAAAATAATAATAGTACAAAAAATTAACTTTTATAATAAAATTTCAAAGATTAGTCTAAAAAAACTAAAAAACAAAAGTACTAATATTTTGATTTAAATTCAAATACCATTTTTTTGTTCTCTATTTGCATTTCACCTATGTCTTGTTTCAATTAAAGCTCATCAAGCAATGAAATGACAAATTATAGTATTCCATTATTTTCTATACTCCCGAAACCATCTTTATCAATGTTCCACATGTTGTGGTCACTTGGGCGGCTACTAAATTTTCGTCATGTCGTGTATCAAATGAGGAGTTATTGGGTCAGATACGCATATCGGTTCACGGATACGGATATCGGAAGTATCGGTATTTTTAAAATTAAGCCCGATACTTTTATTAAATTACGGATACGGACCCAATACGTACATGATGCGTATCGCTGAGTATTGGATTCGGATACGCGGATACGACATCAAAGTGAAGTATCGGTGCAACATCGGTTTTAACAATGTTCTTGTAATATTTTTAAATGATGTGTAATAGTTTTAGAATATAAACTTTAATACCCGTATCTAAAATATAAAAAAATAAATAAATGAATCGGGAACTGAATTGGAACCGAACGGGTTTTGAACCAGAACCGCCGATTTTAGAACTGGTACTACGCGGTTCCGGTTACAGTTCCCTAAAATTTGGAACCTTGAACCGGCGGTTCGGTTTGGGTTCCTGTTGGGTTCCGAACGGGGGACAGGTCTAGCCGGACCTAATTTCCCAAAATTAGAAATGGACGTAAAGAAAGAAACCAGGGACTCCTAAAATCCGTCGTTCTCCCCCGATTGAACGAAACTGAACCTCGCAGAACAAACAAAAAACGCTAGAACCAGAGGCTGCCAGCCACCGCAACCCACAGGCGGACACGTGGAGTGACGATTATGAGAAGTGAATCGCGAACACTGGCCATCACTTATCTGAGCATCTGATCTCTGCCGCGCACGGCGAACGACGGACCTCTGCAGGACGCTTCACTCGCCTCTCCGTTGATTATTTTAGGCTTTCTGAGTGGTGGTGCTAGCAGTTAATTTGGTGGGTCTTTTGAAAGAATGACCCTTTTATGCTTTCAATTCAATGTTATTGCGTATGGAGTAAGTTTAGTTTGTTTTCTTTATAATATGGAGATAGAAAGAATGTGTTCTTTTTTCAGTGAAGGGATGGTGAACATTAGAGATAGAACTGAGGATTTCAAAGATGCTGTCCACCGATCTGCCGTGTCTCTGGGGTATGATGAGGTACTTTGACTTAATTAGCACATTGCCAGTTTTATTATCTCCTTAATATGGCCTGATGCTGCAGATTCTACTTTAGATATGCTCATTTTTTGTACGGCCTTATCCTTGCTCTCAATTTTCTAAGGCTTTCAAACCCAAAGAGGGTGTTCAAGTTCCTACCGTGCTCACATTTTAGTTTCAGCTTGTGTTGCTTTCTCTCCCACTCTAGTATAGACTTCGAGAGTGTTCGGTAGCTTTATTTTCGTCCATCATCTTTGTGGACCATTTTTTTCTCAAACACTAACTATTCTTGATGCACGAGATGAAAGTGGTCATGCACACGTTATTATATGTGGCTGACATGGCTAAAATTTATACTTTTAGCTTCATTTTTGGATATCAGCTCCTTGCCTCCTTCAATTTATTTACATATGTATTTTTAAGATAATTCAATAAATGCAGTCATCTCTGCACCACTGAAGCCATTTGAACAGATTTCGCCACTTCAACATTTTAAGCCTTACCAAAGGGGCTCATAGTGCTTTTGTTGGATTTCCTAGTTTTTCCGTTGCAGTGAATCCTGGTCATTGCAGCCATGTCTTGAAATGTTAAGAGTGCATCCATGTCTCACAAGAATATTAAAGAGTCATATATGGATTTAGAAGTTCCAGGGTAACTGCTAACTGGGTATTCGATTGGCTTCTGTCTTTTAGTGTTGGCATTATAGCCGAATTGAGTGACTGCAGCCAATTTATGAATCTATTGTAACATTACTTTCATTTTGTTAAAAGAGCATTTGTAATGTTCACCTCCATAGTTAAGTCAGAAGTTAGACTGGGTTTTCTTTTGCACATCAGTTTGTTCCTTGTGAATTTCGGAAGCAAATTGATATCTTCTAAGTTCTAACCAAACATAGTTGTCGTTGCGTACAGACAAGAATAGCAGCTATATTAGCTTCATTTATCATGCGCAAACCCCGACAAAGATCACCTTTCATCAAAGCTGCACTGAAGACGGTATAGTTTTCTGATTAAGTGCTTATTCTCTTTCTTATTGTACATGTTTTATATGTTGTATTATAAAACAGATCCTCATTTGCTTAAAAACAATGCATGTACTGTTTTTAGGTGTGGATTTGTGAATGCAGACTACAGAAATGTTTATTGAGGAAATCCTTTTTTCAGGTAGATAGCATTGGAGTCCTTGAAGAATTCTTGTTGAAACATAAGAAGGATTATGTGGATTTGTACCGCACAACTGAACAAGAGAGAGATAGCATTGAAAGTGAAGTAAGATTGATATATTCTCTTACTTTTATCAGTATTTTCCCAACTTCCCACTTAACTAAATCATCAAATCGGTGTTCATATTTGCTTTCAATACTGAGATGAATCTGGTTTGTTTGTTTTCTTAAGTTGAATGATATAATCTTGATTGCATTTAGGGACTCTTTAACATATCTGTGATCATACAATTTTGTGCAGGTAACCTTTTTCATAAAATCTTGCAAAGAGAAAATAGATCTTCTAAAAAACAGTATAAATCAAGTAGATGATGCAAACTCAAAGGGCTGGATTGGATTCAAGGGCGAATCTTTGAATGCAGATACAGTTGCACACAAACATGGAGTGGTAAATCCCAGCATCTGTATTAGTAACTTCGAATGATTTATGTGTTTGTTAGTGATAAATCCCAGCATCTGCATTAGTAACTTATTAACTGATGGAGCATTTGATTAATGGAATGTGGCATTATCTAGGTATAATAATTGAATCAAGTCATCTAGGTAGCGTCACATTAAATTTTATGATTCTGGAGATTAGATTACCTCGATAATATGGAGATTAATATTACCACCATTATTTTGTACTCTGTAATATTTTAGAATATTCCAAATTTGTCCTCAAATGTTTGACAATATCAGTAAAACCATTTTCCATCAACCAAACAGTTCCCTTACATGCCATGATCATATCATATGACTCAAGGCAGTGTATATCCCATGAACCAACCACCTATAAGAGTAAATGTTCTGAAATTAGTCATAGTTGTGAGACCTCTTTGATGTAAAGAATTGATGTGTAGAGGCATCAGGGTTTATGGTTTCTTTATTAGTGTTGGATTTATCGTGAACATGAAACTGCATTATTTGGCACGAACATAGTTTTGAAAGACACCAGTAATCTTAACAATTGATTGAAACATAATTACAGGTTTTGATTTTATGCGAAAAGCTCCACTCTGTCTCTTCACAATTTGACCGACTCAGAGCCGTACGCTATCAAGATGTTATTAACCGCAGAGCACTAAGAAGGAAACCTAGACAGGCTGGCAAAACTAGTTCAACAGAGATATCCACACCCACTAACTTAGAAGAACAAGTTAAGCAAAGTGATGCTCAGACCATGGAGTCCAATGAACTAAGATCAGAACCTGTCAGAGTTCAAGAACAATTTTTAGATGATGAAACACGGGCTCTTCAGGTAGTCAGTAGTCTTATGTTTTCTGCTAAGGATCAGTTTGGGTTGAGGCATTTGGAGGGGAAGGCTTTTGAGGGGCTAAGTATATAAGTTCAGCTCTTCTAAAACAAATGAAGGGTAATTGAATTTTGTATGATAATGTATTATGTCGCCCTTCAGTTTTTATTAAAATTTCACGTGTACGGTACATCAAGATGTTAAGTTAGCCCTCCAAAATCCTTCAACCAAACTGACCCCAATGGTATGTTTGGATGGAGTTCCAAACTGAACAAGGGGGGGGGGGGGGGTCTGTTTAAATGGATGGTTTTATATAGGAAGGGTTTATAGAGCTTGGTCTATATCTTTAGAAATAGAAACTTTCTGAAAAAATAAAGTACAGGTTATATGATCACATAAAGTAGCTAATCTTTCAAATTATATTAAACCTCTAGTACGATAGTATATAACAAGATATTGATTAAGTCCTCGAAACCTTCCCCTCCAAAACCCTCCATCCAAACAGACCCTATATGATTTGTTGTTAGACGGCGGATCTGAAAACTTAAAAGTCTTGGAGGTTTATAGTCTATAACAAAGGAATATTTCTATAACAAAGGTTCAGTTTGGGTATGGGAGTTTGGAGGGTTTTGGAGGTTTATAGTCTATAACAAAGGAATATTTCTAGAAACAAGTAAAGGGTGGTTGATGTTTTATACTTTCACCTTTTATGTTATTCCTTCCGTTTTCACAAAAAACCTCAATTCAAAAACTAGCCAAAACCTCATAATACTCCCTCCAAAAATTTCTATCCAAATAGACCATTAGAATTAACTTATTACATGGGCTGTAATGCAGGCAGAGTTGAGTGGCCTCTTGGATGCTGTTCAAGAAACTGAAACGAAGATGGTGGAAATGTCTGCCTTGAACCATCTAATGTCCACACATGTTCTTCAACAGGCCCAACAGATTGAGTATTTGTATGACCAGGTTAGTGAATCTTTTATTATTTCTTGTGTTACATTCATGTTGGATTTTAGAAAAATGTTATTTTTCACCTACCTCTAACAGACATTAGGATTTGATAAGGATTCATTGGAATATAACATTTACACTCGTCCTAAATTAGTTTGTGATTTAGAAAACTGTACCGCACACACATAGAAACACTACAAAATACTTTAAATTTTTTAGCATTAATTGCATTTCAAGGTACACAAGCATTTAATGTACAAAGAGTTAATATTGGCACATTTTGAACAACAACAACAACATCCAAGGCTCCAAGCATATACTCTAAAGATTTTGGGGTCGGCTAACATGAATTGATCCATGATGAATCAATAAAAAAATATTCATTGAACTCTTAAAACGATGGATAGTATTTTGGGACGTTATTCCTTTGCTAGAACGAAAAATAATTTTGGGCGGAGCCAGTATTACACTTATGTAATCCAGAAAGTTTTGATTACCTGTTCACATTCTGAAACTAATAAAGAGCTGATTTGACAATAATTGCATTGATGTAACAGGCAGTTGAAGCTACAATGAATGTAGAGCTTGGTAACAAGGAGTTAACAAAAGCCATTCAACGCAATAGCAGTAGCCGAACTTTTCTTCTGCTCTTTCTGTTTGTACTCACTTTTTCAATCCTTTTCCTTGATTGGTATAATTAGTTGGGTTACTCATATATTTATACTTATGTAAGGTTCTATTACCACATTTTAAATTGCTTTAGTAATTGTGTTCCTATGTTGCATGATTTGCATCTTTGTGTTTGGGGCTTAAAAAATAAATACGTTTTTTTAATTATGCACATCTTTTGCAATAGTGTGGTTCAGTTTCAGTAACAAAATATATGTTGACTCCAGAAAAGTACCTGAACAAGAAAAAAATGCATATTCTTCTATTATATATGTACTTTCCAATATTTGGTTCTGCTTTTGTAAATGACAAAAATGAGTTGCTGCTTTTCCACGCAACTGGTGGGGATGGAAATGTGATCAAAGGGGTTATCTTCTGTGACAAAGACATTCTGGGAGTGGATGAGCATAAAAGTTCTCCTCCATCTTAGGTGGTGACTGTCCTACCACTCTTGGGGTTGGTGCTCCTGTTCTGTTCTTGTGCAAGTGTCTCAATTTTGTTGCAAACTCTTCCCAGGGTAATTTCCCCTTGTCCATTTCGTCCAAAAGCTTAATGAATTTTTTCCTGAACACAATATGAGATATCTCAGACAAAGAGAAAGACTTTATCAAGAGAGAATGCACTTCATTTGGGATGGAACTCAAGGTGGCTCATATGCAGAGGGGTAGATGTGAGTTTAGATTAGTAGTCTGTCTGTTAAAAAATATCTGGGGAAAATAATGGTAGCCTTAGAATGAAATAATATTCCGATTCCCAATGCATTACAGAGTTTGTAAAAATGTTCTTTTTTAATAAAAAAAATCAGGCACACAATTAGAAATGTGATAGTCTTTCCCAAAGCACGTAAATGAAAAATATCAAAATTGTGGTTCATATTTATTTCAAAGAAAGAAATTATAAAATCACAACTTAGTTTCTTTAAAAGAAATTGATAATTTTGAGACCTAAAAGAAAATGTGATGATTATTTAGGGACAAAAAGAGTAGTCATTAGTAATTTTGTTGTTTTATTTATTACTCTCCCGTCTCTATTGAAAGTTCTTATATTATTTTTGAAATGTCCCTAAATAAAATCCTCTTACCTAAGTTAGAGTAAATGTGTAGCAACAAATATTGTCAAACAATACACTCTACAGTCATATTTAATCTAGGTAAAAAAACATTTTTAGAAGTTAAAGAAAAAACTGACTTTCTTAAACTCCGTGAAGATGAAACTAGAAACTTCTTTAATCCACTGAGAGTATTATAGTTTTTTTATCTATTTTAGTTATTTTTAATGTTTACAACAAATAAGTTGAGCAGTTTTTGTTTGAAATTTTTTGTTTTTAAATTAATTATATTCATTATATTCACACTATATGCCTTTCTATCACCTCTATTGACTTTGCACGATTTTGTAGAGTGCCTGACAGATTTAGTTTGAATATAAATAATATCAAACAAAGAGAGAATTTATAATGAGAAAATAAGATAATTTTGGGACCATCAAGAAGGGAAAGTATCAAGATAAAAAGGGACAGAAGAGTAATATTTTTTTTAAATATTTGGACATAATCTTCCAAAAATATTTAGAAGCTGCAGCGTTTAGAGCTTTATAAAAGCTCTAAGCGCTTCAAATGCTCTCCCAAATAGAGCCCAAAAGATGAAAACATTAGACTAATGATGCCACGTACTTGTCAGGATTGATAGTTTTGCGGAAGCCTTCAAACATCCTATGTCCTCGCACAGCTTTCGCCATGTTCCCATCATATGTGTAAACAAACACATCACTCTCAACCGCCACAATGTAATCCAAGGCAGCTAGCTGGTTCTCCCTACCCATGAAGTGCTTCAGTTCTTCTTCAGTTGCTAAGTTGGAATGAGAGTATACGTTTGGGTACTTCTCCAACAAAGCATTCATTCCGCTCTTCCCAAAGATGGTTCCAGAAACTGTATATATCTTTGTGTTGGATGGATACCCCATCGCCTCAAGGAAAAGGCTAGCCTCTCGGGGAGTTAAAGGGCATACCCCTTGGATCCGCCTCTCTGTCCCGTTTATCCGTTTCTCCTTCCAGTGTCTGGTTTTTTGCCTTAGCATCTGAAGCTCATCTGCTTCCTTTTTGGTAAGGTTGTGATTACACCCAGTGAATGCTAGCATATCTTTTTCATACCTGCATTTCAGTTTCAGTTTCAGTTCTGCTTAGGGATAAAGCTGATAACTCTATCTAAGTCTCCGTTTGATTGCTGGAAAATTAGGATCAGCTTGCTTCTAGGATTTCCCCCCCTCCTGAAAATATTCTCTCCAGGAAATATTTTACCAGAATGATTGTACTTTTTCTGGTACTAAAGACTATATTTGTACAAGTTTGTTCCCCTTCATTTGGATCATGAAACATGATCGATATTTTATTTTTCATGTTTTGATATCATAAAATAGTTTTCTAAATCAAACTAGTTACATTTCGGTGGTTCTGAGAAATTTTGTGAACGGGCCTCTTTTTTGAATAGGATGAGTCATTTTCGTGTAAGAGCTTCATGGTTTTTGTCTTTGCATGTTTCAGTTTCAAGAACATTTTATAAGAAAATAGTCGTATTTCTGAAGTTAGAACTTTTGTGGAAGGCGCCTTCCTGCTCTGATTATGACAGTCATTTTCGTGGAAGAGTTTCATGTTTTTTTGTTTCGCTGGTCAAACATTATGTGTATGTTTGGTACTGGTGATTTGACTGAAAAGGGGTGAATTTTCCTAAAAGGAGGTACTTAATCTAAGCCAAATAAGTAAATCTGAGGTTACTTACTCTCCTTCATTCTGGTTATTATTCTAATAAATAAGCATAATAACTTATTATTGGTAAGCATAATAACTTACCAATAAGGGTCTATACAATACATTGAAGACCTGAGTTTCCCCAAGAACTTATTTCCTATAATCAAATGGATCCTTACTTAGTCGTCTTGTGAAATGTTTTACTTCAGGAGAATGTTATTCAGGTTCCAAATACGTAGTAATACATAAAACATTTCCTGGAAGATTATTTTCCTGGATCCAAACAGAATCTGAGCCTGCATTAGTTATATATCTTTAGTTAATACTCCATACTACGAAATTATAATACCTTAAGTGCAGTGCAATGTAAGGATCTCCATTTTCTTTGAGTCTGCTTACTAACTTCTTTGCAAGTGTTTCTATTCCATCTGCAAAACGTAGCGCTTCATACATAGCATGGCATCTCAGTTTTTGGATCGAGTCTGGGATTCCATTGTTGGCTAGGCGGGAATCAGAGTGAGTGAATTCTATCACTTTGTGTTTCTTTAATAGTTTAAGAATGTCTTTGCTGTAGTAACTGGGCTGCACACAAAAGAACCATTTTGACCACATCTGAATTACTCCATATGTTCTTAAAATGGGTCTTGTTTCAAACATGCTTGTTTTTATGAAACCAAGTGTTCCAAGGATGCTTGTTTTATGCTAAATTTAGTTTTGACCAACAGAATATTTGAAAATGTGAGTACGGCCTCCAAGTTGAACACTCTTCTTTTTTTGTACAAGAATAGGATCTTCATCATCATCACTTCAATTAGTCACATGAAAATTTAGTTTTAGTAAATTGCCTGCAGTTAATTAGCAGTATACATTCATGTCAAAATACAGAGACTACGAGCTTGCACACCCAATGCCCATCTTGCAAAACCGTTCCAATTCTGGGAACCATAGTCACCAGACTCGCCACAAGTTATTCCTACTTCCAGGATTGACATTGCATGATTTATACTTCGTATTAGTCGTGCATTAGATTTAAGCAAACCAGACCATAATATATTTGAAAAGACTCATAAATCAGATTTGGATAGTAATAAAGTAACATAACAGCACCATATTAAAACAGACCAAAATAGACCAATTCATACCAGGTCAATAAGTTTCAGTCCAACAGCCCAACAGGTCCTAAATGTTAGTGTGGATGCAACATTGGGGGATGTTTATGAGAGTTCAATCTATATCTTGATTAGAATAATGCTTTTTTATCAATGACTACTATTTCTTATGTTTCTAATAAATCTCAATTATGTATTATGATATACTTAACCCTCCGATACCTTTTCAAAAATTTCCACCCAAACTGATCCTAAAATATAGAGAAAAGTGGTGAGAGAACTTGCCTTTGACCAAGAAACTGGAGTTTTCTTTAGTGGCTTAACATCAGCAAGATGGAGAGGAAGGGATTCTACAACTTGAATATCATCTCCCAACGACTTTATGAAGTGTTGCCAGTCAAAGATATCTTTGAATTCACTGGGAACAATTTACTACAATATGTCAGAAGTTTGCACTCTAAACGAACCAATTTAGGGCTAAAGTGCAGATAGGTCTTAGATTAGATGAAAATGAACTCGAACAAAATTATTAACATTTATTTTAGAAAAAAATAAGTCGTGTTTTGTACTACGTAATATACTCGTGGCCTCGTTGGGCGCATACCTTTTGATTCTATGGCCCAAAGGGAAAATTTACAAAGAAATACTACTCATAACCTCCTGTCCTCCTTGGCTCCTTCATAAAAACAATTTGATACTACTTCTCATAAGTGAACTTCACAAAATGAAGTTCTCATCCCATTTCAAATTGGGAATTTGTTTTCGTGACGGTGGGAGTACATTCTTTTTCGTGGGAACAATTAGTACATGTGTTGGCCCAAAAAGAAAAGTTGGGACATCCACATTTCAAGTGTTCATAGATCAAGTTTTTAAAAAAAAAGAACATATCCTTTGAAAGGAGTAAGTCTGTACCTGGGGTCAGTCCAAAAGGACTTGTGATCCAAAAAAGGAAGTACCAATGTGGCATTCATTAATTTAGCTATAGCTACCATATCACTTATCTGCAACGATATAAAATAGTCAGATGCTTTACTACAATTTGGAATCGAGTGTGTTTAGAAGACGGACATTGATCTAAATGATATTAATTACCCCAGTTTTCATTTGATTAAGTCCACCGTTTGCATGGACAATGATGTACCCATTACTGCTATTTTCGAGCCCTGCGGTAAAATGGTAAAAATGCATAAAATTAAAGGTTTCTCTAAAATTGAATTAAAGGTTTTTCCTTATAATTTGCAGTGTGGTTTTTTCCATTCACCCCCCTAAGGCACCAACTATTACTTTTTAAGAGTCCATTAGGTAAGCTTAATAATCGCATAAGTTAACTGAAAACTTATATTGAAATTATGCTTTACTAGTAGAATAAAGAAAATCTATATATAGAAACACTAAAACAGTACTTTTCAGTAAATTCAATTAATTAAACCAGTAAACTAACATCTAAACTATCATCAGTCCTAGTGACTTGGATTAATATGGAATTGAGCACTCAAAATCCAAAGTTCAATATCTGGGAAAATAATTATCTGATTACCAAATGGACTTTAGAATAAGCATAATCATTATTTAGAATTAGCAAAAAAAAAAATCTAATTAGCATGATGGTCCGGTTAATCAAACCATCCACCGTACTTGTTTCTCTTGGTCGATCGATGCACTTGGTGTAGCTGTCGCTATGATTGTTTCCCCAAATTTCAGTATCGTTAAACTACACATTTAAAAGAATGTAATTATGAATTACGAAAATATATTGCAAAGCAAACAAACGATCATACACAGTAATCCTAACTGGATAATAATAGTAGTAGTAATAATAATTAATAAGAAACAATATCACTATCACTTAAGTCATAATTTTCCACGATTTCCAAAAGTGCATCGTTTGATGCAAAAACTGCATCGTGCATGAAAATAAGTGTAACTGTTTCATTTGTTTGCACTTTGCACAAGAGCCCACTTTTTATTGGAATCATAGTATGGGGTATTTGTATCTGATTCTTAAAACTATTTCTACTTATTCAGGGAGCAGAAACAGAAGTCGAAGTGTCTGGGTGAAAGTGCAGAAGTATTTATGGTGCTCTAATATACTTCTAGAAGCATTTTTTTAGAAGTTGGGAGAGACCAGTTTCTGAAAACCGATTCTGATTCTGCTTCTGCTTTAAAAAAAAGCAGAATCAGTTCGAAACACCATCTCAATATCTATAATGTTTTTATACTTCGAGTTTATTAACACCAAAATTAAAGTATTTTTGCACTGTAGTTTAATTTTTCATGTTTAATTACTTCCTCGTTCCTACCGTTATGTTTTGTTATTAATTAAGAGAGAGTGAACCCTAGTTTTCTCTTTTCATGTGGAATATATGCATGGAGTATATGTTATCCAAAACCAAGTTCCACTTGAATTGGCTATGATAATTAATGGGGACAAAAGATAATGTTTATGGATTGACATCAGTTCCAGATTTTTTTAATAGTTTAGATTATATTTAGATATAATGATATACAATACACAGAATATCAAACTTAATTTATCTCCGTGATCAATATTAGATATGTTTAGACTTGACCAATCTTAAACAGACTATAAGTTTCTAAAGCAAACAGACTATAAGTTAGGAAACAAAGTGTGATTCGTGGCATGTACTACACTATGTTGCACGGAAACGCGAAAATTTTGAGAAAACAAAAAAAAAGAAACGAAAGAGCCTAGAGTTTCCGAAAACGAAAACGTACTCTTTCCCGAAAGTTTCCGTGATACATACATAGGTACTACTTATAAGAAGAGACAAGAAAAGAATTTATCTCAACTAGTTCAGCCTGATTACGATAATAAGATAAAATAGCGTACTAAAAGAAGAACACGAATGAGTTTTCCACGTAATCAAAGCAAATGAATTTCAATTACTTTAGAAACCCGGGCATGCACGGCGTCGCCACCCCCTACCACGACGGACGGCCGCCGAGACGACGGCAGCTGCAAGAAGTCACGGGGGCTCATCATAGCATGGACCTGAAGAAAGCTATGCATGAGCATCATCTTCCCCAAAACCGTGAAAACCGCCACAAACGTCAAAGCTCCGACGACCCACCGGCTAAGGCTCTTCCCCGGCCCCACCACCTTCCTCGTAATCTGAGTCAATCTCAAACACATTCTCAACATGAATCTCAACAGCTCCAAAATCCCAACCGTCGGAATCATGTTACCGCCGTAGGGATCCACCGGCGGCGCCCTACGCCTCGCCTTGTTGACGGCGGCAGGCGGCAGTGGAGGCTTGCCGCCGCGGGGTCCGTGTGACATCTCAAACGGCCGGCGGCGGGGAGATGCGGCGGTGGGGGTTGATTGGAATGGATGGAGGAATGGAAGGAAGTGGTTAAGGGGAGATGGAGGGAGCCATGCATTGTCCACGTACTCAATATTGCCCTTTTTTTGGGAGTTAGTTATTAGGTGTCCGATTTGTGAGGCAAAAACCACGTTCTTTTTCAAGTCTTCTTCTTCTCCTAAAGAACGGTGTCTGATGAAGAGCCATGGTCTGAGAGAATTTCGTGTTCCGATCCAAGTCTAATTATATTTGAGTAGTCTTCTAAATTAAGTCTTTCATTTGGTCTCTACTATGTTCTCAATTAATAGACACCGTACTATCCTCTATACTTAATAGGAATACAAATGCATCTCAGCCCTTCATTTTAAATGATCCGTACCGTTCACTTAAAAATACGTACTACTCCGTATCACCTATCCTAATTTTCTCTCATTTTCTTTTCACCGATCTCTTTGCTTCTGTTGCTGCAAGTCTTTGCCATCTCTTTCTTCCATCTCAGGGCCTCATGGAGAAGAAGATGAAGGGAAATGGACCAGTGGACCAGTGACGGCTTGAGATCAGTAAGTCCGAGGAGCAAGTGTTGTCCGGAATGAATATCACCGCCACAACATCCGCCGGCGCCTCCAAGACAGTCGATTTTCTTTCAAATTCACATATCTTCTCCCATCCAGACCAATCTCCACAGCACCTAAATCTGTTCGGGGGAAATCGCCCAACTTTGTGAATCAAAAGAAAAGGGACCAATTTCACACGAACCTGGTAAGTTTACAGATTCATTTTTAGCGTGAATTTCATTTTTATTTTACTTTCTTTTATTTAGTTTGATTAGAAATAGTATTTTTTTAATCAAACTATCTGATTGTTTTGTAGACTTTTTGCTTTAAGACAATAGCTTGCTTGGCTAAACAGATTCATCTCGCACCAGCTTAAATCAAAATCTTTGTTCTGTATGAAATATATTCAAAGTGGCCTGGAATCAATGTTTCTTTTCAAGCAGATGGATATCAACTTTGCACTGGATCAAAATGCCATCTGCATCTTAGGGTTAAGGTTTGTCCTACAAGTTGGTATAAATATAGGTTATCTTTTGCGATTTATTTGATTATCTTTCGCGAGCTTTACTAAATGGGCATGGCTTAATCCGGGTTTTCAAAATATGATCACATTTCTTCTTCAATTCCATACATGTAATGTACCATTTAAGAATGTCCAGGTGTTAAAAAACACATCGTATTCCAGTCCTAAAATACGTCACTAGACTCGCTACCAAGGCAACAAGTTTGGTTTAGATAGTTTTAATAGTAATGACCACTCTCATAGTCTCATTTTTGTGGCCTTCATATTTGATGGAATATCTCTTTATGAAGCTTCACCATAAATCCACAGATTGTAGCAGTTGTTTTTAATTACTATATATCAATAACTATGTTCTTCAATCCTTTATTTTCTTGATTTATCTCTTTACAAAATAAAAAAAACATGCATTTTTTTAGATTCAAAACTCATGAGTTCAATGTGTAATGTCGTTTGTGAAGGAGCAGGGACAATGTGAAAATTGAAAAACAAAGAGGGTATGCTTAGCAAACTAAATTTTGATAAAAAGTATGACTGTATATGTTCGCAAACCAAATATTACCAGGTTTGCTTTGGTAAAAAAAGTTGTTTTTATGAGGCTAGGTTCTTTATCCAAACATTCTTTTACAAGTGTATACACTGTAATTCAGTAATTCCATTCTTTTTAATTGGGTGAATGAATGTTATATCTGAAGAAGCAATTGGTACTGCAGCTTTGTTGTTTCAGCAGCTCCAAAAAATCCATCTAGACACGTCCCAGGGCATATTTCAATAGCTCAAATTGTTAAGACGGGTAAGCCGCAAAATAAGTGCCACATGTTTCAAATGAATCATTTATCAGTGGTTTGGAAAGAAAACTGTGTTTTTAGATTATTGTCATTAGATTCCATTTTAGAATTCTTATTTATGATTTCGAAATATGGAGTAAAACTTATTTCTGATTTTGTAATAGGGTTAAAGTTCTTAGAGTGTTTACATTTTTTTTATACATCACAAACGAATTAGGTTTACACATTATTTACACATACCTTTTTGTATCTATCACCTTTCTAATCACGAGTCTTTTATCATGGATGGTTATTAACAGCCAAGGAAAGGAAAAAGGAAGGTGAAGATATAAAAATGAATCAAAATGATATGCTTTAAAAGATTATGAATTCTAAATATATAATTGAAGTGTGTGTCTCTTACAATTTTTGCACATAAATTTTTTACATGGTGTAATAAAAAACAATTCTTTTCAAAGAGGTCCCAAGTACTTGGATTTAAAAATAAAATAACCAACCAAATGGCATACTCTTTGATGTCTTTAGCTATGCATGTGAGGCAAATTGAAATACAATCATATAAAAAGCTGCACATAAAAAATATCAACCCCCAGTCCCTTACTTGCTCACTAGCAATGTGAGATTTTAACTCTTTGTTTCTCTCTTTTAAAATCAACTTTGAATGCTATTTCCATACCAAATTTTCTTTATATGCAGCTAAAAGCATTCAACTCCTTGATTTTTTATTTGTTGGACTATAATTACTGGAGAATTTAGTTCTATAGTTTTTATTGTTATTACTTCATACTTATAAAATACTAAGTACTGTTTATACATTTTGTTTCATAAATAGAAAATTGCTTCAAACTATTTAAATACCTTCTTTCTATCAATGATCCTTTACTTTGTAATTTGATTTTGTTTTGATGTTTCTGATCTTGTGAATACGCTTTACAGTTATCCTTAGTTGATGCTCAAGAAATTCCAAATGGATTTGTAAACCGATCTGTCAAGTTTGTTTTCTTAAATGTTTCCCTTGCTCATCCACTTATGCAGGCTGCAAGCTTCCAAGTTTCAATGAGATTTATTTACAGTTCATAATGTGACATTTTGTTGCTACTGTAAACCCAAATGGGATGATAACTGGTGTGATAATATGGTTTATCAAGTTTAACGGCTGAAAGGGATTGCTTACCGATGAGGTGGATTAACTTTCTTGGAAGTGGTGTTCTAAATTCACTTGCTTTGATACTAATCTTGTGTGTTTGTCATCTATTTTAATATCATTCGACGTTCAACATAAGAAATGAGAAATACAGCATTATAACAAATGGATAAGTTTCAACCGGCCATACCTATTTGTTGTAATTCATAACAAATTGGAATTTTATCAATCCAGGATGTGAAAGATAGAAAAATTATCAATCCAGAACTTGATGAAAAATGAAATGTATCGGTATAGGACCTGAATAATGGAAAAATATCAATTAAGGACCTAAGTTGTCATAAATTTTATTATTATTTTTATTTCAAAATTTTTAAATATTATTTAGTTTTATTAAACTAATAAACTTTTGTGAAGAAAATTTATCAAAAATTAGCAATGGAATTAATAAAAAATAAATAAAAACCGATAAATGTTAGGTCTTAGATTGATAGTTTTTCATCATTCGGATCTTACATCTGTACAATTTATCTTTCAAGTCTTGAATTAATAATCTATCTATCTTACAGGCCCTGAATTAATAAAATAAAAGTAAACAAAGTACCATACTTTATGGAATCCAAAAGTAGTTTCTACTGTAAACAAAATGAATTTTATCAATTCAGAGCCTGAAAGGTAAATAAATTATCAATTCAGGTTATCTACTCACTAATAAGATGCTATGGGCCCTACCCGGTCCCGAAACCAACCCGGTCCGGTACCAGGCTTAATGCCCAAAAAAATTAAACCGCCTAAGATCCGACCCGGACCTAGGCCCAGTCCACCCCTAGGGGCATTGGGTCGGCATTTTGTCTCGTGATAATTTTAACTAGGTGAGTTACTCCTCAGCACCAAGTGTTATTTTGGATTGAATTTGAAACTTTTACCCCAAAGAAAGATGTCATGAAACTTATAAATAATCAGTGAGTATTTTAAAAGTTGGAAAACAATATTCCCTACGTCACTCAAAATATGACCAAGTTTGACCTGCATGGATATAAATTAAAAATGTGTGACTAAAGGTTGTGCATAAGAGAAATAATTAACATGAACCACAAATTCACTAATAAAAAGATAAAGTTTCAACGTAAGTGGGACAATAAAAAAAGTTGATAACATTTTCGGGTTAATTCCATCTTTGATAATTCTTCTCAAAAAAGTCTCACGAATCATTTGTTTCTTTTTCCTCCTCTTCTTTTCCATGTTCATGTCATCCATTTTTCCCAATCACTACTAATACTTTTAAAATATACTCGAGTTATCTTATTTAATTATTATCTAAATAATTGTATCATTTCATAATGGGAACTTTAAAACGGAGCGTAGTTCATACATATTAATGGAAAAAATTATGTGATTGATGCTGAATTTAATGTAGGAATGAGTGTGAGATGCTTAACATCCCAAGTATCAAATATGAAAAATTTGAGAAAATAGAGGAATGATGAAAAAAAATACAACACTAATTGATACTCCCTCCGTTTGACACTGTTTGACACTGTTTTTGCTTGCCAAAAAGGGAAATGTGTCTTTTATATTGGGACGAGCCGAAAAGGAAAATGTACCTTTTATATTGGGATGGAGGGAGTATAAGTTTTTTTTTCATTAAATTTGTAATAAGTGAACATTTTCACTCCAAGTAAAAACATCCTTACATTTTCATTGTATGATGTTAAACATTTAATTGTTACCATTTATTTATTTGTCTGATATTACAATGATTTGGTATTTTAGATTTAATTTAATATTTTCATTTATTGGTTCAATATCATTTTTTTGTAGTTTTTATGTAATTGCATCTAAATAATTCTATAGGTATATACTTCACTCCCGTGCAACGCACGGGTGAGATAACTAGTACTACGTAAGTGACATGCATATACTTCCACCCTGAAAAGGGTTGGTCAAAGTTGACTTTCACGTGCATTAATAAAGTAAAAACTGTGTGGTTGAAATTTGTGCAGAAGAGAGAGAATTAACTTTAGACACATATTCCTTTAAATGGAAATATCAAATCTTTTTGGGACACCCGC